TATATTTAATTAAATTAGGCTCTTTATATATAATTTTTTTAAAAAAAATATATTTATTCATAATTTTTAATTTATTTATAAATAATTATTTTGAAATATTTTTTTTTAGATTAATAATGACTTTTTGTTTTTAGATTTACAAAATCGAAAATTACAAACAATATTTTAAATTGGATTTTTTTAATGTTTTTAATTTTTATTAATTAATTAAGAAAATGTTTGAAATTTATTTATATATAAGAAAAGTTAAAAACTAAATTAATTAAAAAATTAATTTTTTAGGAGGATATAATTATATAAAAATAATATATTATTAAATTTTTCTTAATTAAAACTAAAATGATATTATTATTATCTTTAAAATAATTTAAATATATTTTGTAACAATTATTATGTCTTTAAAACTTAATTAATGATTTAATAATTATAAAATTATAGAAGAAATTATTAATTTTATATTTTTAAATTGAAAATAAAATATTAGTCAATTATTTGCTAGATTTTGCTTATAAATATAATTTATTATTTGCTTAATTATGTTATAAGAAGGATATAGATTTATATATTTGTTATTTTATTTTCTATAAATAATTAATATCTTTTATTTTAATTTATCAATTTTTTTTATTTATTTCATATAAAAAAAAACATGTTTATATTTTCTTTATATAGATAAATATCTAAATTTAGCCTAATTATTAAAAATATATTGTTTAATTATATTTTCAACTTTAAATAATAAATTAATGATTAATTTACATATAAAATAAAATCATTATTAATAAATTAAATTTCTAATATGTAAAACTGTTATTGTAAGAATTAAATTGAAATATTATTTTTAATTTAATTTATAAATATCAGTTTATATTCTTATAATAAAATAACAATAAATTAATTTAAATTTGAATACAAAATTAAATTATAAATATATTAATTTTTTTTGTTTAATATATATTTTTATATAAATGTGTATATTTCATCTTTTTTAATTGAATAAATTACTATTTTATAAGTTTTTTTTTATATATATATTTTAAAAAGAAAACTTAAATAAAAATAATTTTTTGTTTAAAACGCATAAAAATTATATATATATTAAAGGAAAAAGAAAAAAAATAACAAGCTAAAAATAATTACAAAAATAAAAATTACAATAAAAAATAATTATTTCAATAAGACAAAAATGTAGAACATCAATTAATATAGTTAGCAAAATATAATAATATATAAAAATTAAAAAATTAAAAAGAATATGATCATACTCAAATGAATAATTAAATAAATTAAAATCAATATTATAAGTGCTTTAAATATAATAAATAATTTAAAAATTTTTAAAAATATATATTTAAAATATAATAATAAGAATTCAAAATACAGAGGATACAATAGGTGTAGATTAAACTCCATCAAATAATAATTATACAAAAAGTACAAATTCTAAAGAAGAAATGTCATAATCAACAGCTAGAAACAATTAAAGTAGAAGAGCAATAAATGATTATGAATTCATTGAGATTCCAGGTAAAAAATCTATTTTAGGTTAAGGAGCATATGGTACAGTTAGGCTTGCAATAGATAAAAATAATAATTATAAATATGCTATAAAGATTGTAAAAAATATTTTATAAATATATATATATATATATATATATATATATTTTTTTTTTTTTTTTTTTTTTATAATAAATAAAAAAAATTAAAAATTAAATTTTATTATTATTAAAATTAAATAAATAAATAAAAAAGATGCAAAAACAAATGATTTTTTAATATTGTACAATTGAAAATTTAAAAAGAGAAATAAAAATTTAAAAAAATATGAGCCATGAAAACATTTGCAAACTTTTTCATTATTTCGAAGACAAATAAAACGTTTATTTAGTTTTAGAATTTTGTGAATAAGGAAGTTTATTTAATATTTTAAAAAGATCCCATAAATTCCCAGAAGAAGTCGCTTTTCGCTTCTTTTATTAAACATGTCTAGGAATAGACCATTTACACAGAAACAGTATCATTCATAGGGATTTAAAACCGGAAAACCTGCTAGTAGATTCCAAAGGAGACATTAAATTATGTGATTTTGGATGGAGTGCGGAATAAAGAAATAGTGTAATAAGAAATACTTTCTGTGGTACAGTTGATTATATGGCCCCGGAAATGATAGAAAATGTCCCACATGATCATAGAATAGATATTTGGTGTTTGGGTATTTTATTATACGAGTTGATTCATGGATATGCACCTTTTAGTGGGGATACAGATAATGCTAAGCTTAATAATATTAAAAATAATCAATAAATAAAGTTTAGTAGTCATGTAGGAAAAGATTTAGAAGATTTAATTTGTTAGATTTTGAAAAGAAATCCTTTATAAAGACTTTCGATGAAATAAATATTTTATCATTAGTGGATGCAAAAATTTTATAATAAAATTGGTATTAATATTAATGAGATTATGATTACATAAGGGTAAAATACTCTTTATTCGTCGAAATAGGATAAAGATTTGAATAAAACATAGGATTATAATAAATATATTAAAAGAAGAGAATCATAAAATAATGATTATCTAAATAGTTCTTATAACCATAATATATATAATTTTAATGCGTCGAATTCTTAATAATAAGGGAAGTAATATTACAGATTTGATGCAGATAAAATAAAATATAATGAGTAAGATGAATAATAAGATTAGAATTTAAGAAAGTCACAAATTAGTAATGATTTGATGTAATTGAAAAATAATAAAAATTTGAATATAAAAAAAGATGAAGAGTCATTTTTTGATAGGATTTTTATTGCTTTCGGATGTGTAAGTAGGGATAAAAATAAAAAAATTGATATAATTTAATATTTATTATTAATTTTATATTGATATCACTTATTTATTAATTTGAAAACAATTTTATTTATAAAATATTATATAATTGGAAAATTTCTCTTTTTTTATGTTTAATATTATAAAAGTTTACTTAGATTATATATATATAAATAAAATATTTTTATATAATAAATATATAAAGAATTACATTATTTTAAAGTATATTTGGTTTGGATAATAATATTAAATAATAATAATCTATATATATATATATATATATATATATATATATATATATATATATATTTAACTTAAAATAAAATATAAATATATATATATATACTTTTTGCTTTAATATTAATAAATAATCATTTTTTTACTGGAGAAGTTAGTATTTTATTTAAACTCGTTCTTTTAGACAAAGAAGGTCTTCTTGAATATCTAAAAAGACATTTATTACATAATTCTTAGATTTATTATTTTCTATCTAATCTCTAAAAAATAATTTAATTACAAACATAAAAAGGAAAAGCATTAACAATAAAATGGCTTAAGTATCCTTTTAGAGTATAATTTTATTTTTCGAATTCTAAAATTCCTTATACAAAGTCAATATATAGTGATTAACTTCTTTAATGTGTCATTTTTTTATTATTATTTATTTATTCTAATTGTTTATAGTTTACTTCATATTCTTCTTATTTTTTATTCATTTTATTTATGATTTCTAATTTAGAAGTTGAATTAAAATACTTTCTTTCTGTATTTTATTAACCGTTTTGGATAATTTTAGTTCTTTTAATTTCTATATCTTTATCTTATTATATTTGTAAATTAAAACTTTAAACTTCTTTATTTACTTCTTAAGGAATATACTAATCGAATTATACTTAGCTGCAAATTTCGGAAACAATTTATATACATTATTAAGAATTTTAAAGAGATTATTGGTTATTATTAATAAAATAATTTTCTTCTTCTTATTTTGCTAATTCATTAAATATTTAATTAATATTTTGGTTTTATATATTTTATTTTAGTTATTATATATTTTAGGTTTATTCTTATTCTTAATTATTTATTTATTTGGCTTTTTCATTATGGTTAATATTTCTTAGTTTTATTGACTTATATTTTATTTATCAATTTTATATTGTTTATGATTTTCTTTTATTTAAATTTATTAATTATTATATATATTTTAATCATTTTTAAATATATTGATTATTATCCATATTTTATTTAGTGGTTTATTCATTAATATCTTAAATTTAAATTAATTATATTTATTAATTATTATTTATATTTTATTATTCACTTTAAATATCTTTTTTTTTATCAATATTTTCCCTAATTAATAATATTTTATCTTATTTTTTTATTTCGCAATGTTATTCAATTGAAATTAATTATTCTTATTAAGTTTTTGTATTTTATTCATTTTAAATAGTTTCCATATATTAAGATTTTATTTGATTTTAATCATATATTTCTTCTTTCTATATATTATATTTTTTTTAATTATTTTAAATTTAATTATCTATTTGTAAAACTTCTTATATTTATTCATTATTTTAAATAAATAACATTTTATTTTCTTGATTTAATTTAATAATTTATTCATTATTAGTAAATGTAAATAAATTTTATTTATATTAAGAATTATCATCATCTTAATATTAATTTTTTTCCTCCTTTTTATAATATTTTATTTTACTATATTTTATATTATATTAAATTTATATTATTTTATTTTGTTTTTTTTTATTATATTATATATTTATATATCATATTATTTTATTTTATTAATTTTATTCTATAAAAAAATATAAAATTTTAATAAAATACCAAAAATTCTTTTTCTTATTAAATATAATAATCTTAGCATTCAGTTAAGCATATTTGATTAGATTTTTAAATTTCCTATTCTTGTATTTTAATTTATTGTTCAGACATTGTTTTTTAACCTTATATTTCTTTTAAATTTAAATTATTTTTATCCTATTCAATTTATTCTTAATGTTTTTCATAATTTTTTAATGATTAATTTATATCTGGTTCTTCATCTGTTTAAGTATAGAAATTTTATTAAAATTAAGCAATATCATTATAATTATCTTCTTATATTTCACAATTTTATTGATTCTATTTTTTTAATTTTTTTATATTTTTATATTTAAATATATAAATATATAAATATATATATATTTATATATATATTTATATATATATTTTTATTATTTTTATTATTATTTTTAAACACATTGAATTCATTTTCTTATTATAAATAATAAATTTAGCATTCACTTTTGTATATTTCATTGTCATCTTAATCTTTTTATTTGTCTATATTAATTAAATTATCAGATAATTTATTTTATTTATTTTTATATTCATCCGTATTTTATTATACTTATTCTTAATTTATATTCTAGTTATAATCTTTTAATAAACTATTATATTTTTCTTCTTATTGCGTATTTTGATTTTGCTAAACTTGATATTGTTTTTTTTCTAATTATATTTAGCATTTTTAGTATTTGTTTTTTCCTTCAATTTAATAATTTTCTTATTTTTCCTTTTATATTTATTAAATATTTTATTAATTTTTATATTATTAGTCTTGCATTTTGTCATATTATAATTAAAATTATTATAACTATTTTTTTTAAACGTTTTCTTACTAATTATTTTTATTTTTTTCTTTATATTTTTCAATATCATTCGAAAATATTTATTCTTCATTAAATAATATTTCTTAATAATTATTGTCTTTAAACTCATTTTGATTATTTTAGAAATTATAATCAGTTTTTGCTTATTAGTCTAACAAAACTGAACTTATTTGTTAATTTTTTTTATTTTTTCTAAGTTATCTTATTTGTTCTCTAGTTCTTTTTATTTTTTTCTTCTTCTTCCTATATATCTTATTTATTATCTTATATTTATTATTTATTATCTTATATTTATTATTTATTATCTTATATTTATTATTTATTATTCTATTTTTATTATTTATTATTATATATTTATTATTTATTATCCTATTTTTATTATTTATTATCCTATATTTATTATTTCTTGTCTTATATTTATTATTTCTTATCTTATATTTATTTTTTATTATCTTATATTTATTAGTTTTCTATTTGTGTTTCTTATCCTTATTATTCATTTAATAAAACCAATTGTTAATCAAATTAAATACTATAGTAAATATTAGAAGATTATTCAATTCCTATATTTTATTTAACCTAATCTTGATTAATATCCTTTTATTCTAGAAGGTTTTCATAATCTTAAGAGTTATTTTAAGAATTTACTCTATAATTATTGACATTAAACTCACTTTAGGCAGTATAAAAAGTATAAACAGGGGAATTTTCAGAATTAGATAATTTATTTTCTTTTTTATAATTTTTAAAGTCCAAAGATTTATGTCTAGTCATTATTTTTGAAGATAAAAAGCAGTTTTTTCTATTATTATATTATTTTATTTCTTATTCACAATTATAAAATTATTCGGGGGTATTCTCTAAATCATCTAGATTATTAAAACTAAAAAACTTAGAAGTTATTATAGGAATTTTATTCACCTATTTTGACCTTTGTATTTATAAATTCAACTTATTGTCTAATTATAGAGACTTATTTTATATATTTATTTTCAAATTTTTTTAATCTTATTTCAGTAGATTTATTTACAAATTTCTTTGGCAATTTGTATGGAGTTAATCGGAGTATTTTTTTATGATTAACTATTTGTATTTTATAAGATTATATGTAGGTCTTTATTTCTTTATAGGGGTGGATGATGAACTATAGGTGTTTTTTTATTAATTTATTTTTTGAATATCTTTGAAATTTTATTAGTCTTCTATTTTTTGAGTACTATTTTCTAATATATATTAGTTAGATTACATTTGAAAAAATTAGTAAGCTATATTATATTTTTGTGTGTATTTTTTTTATATTTTATAGATATAAATGTAAAATATTTTATGGTTAAAAATAAAATAAAAATATAAATATTTATGAATATTAAAATTTTATTTTAAATCAAATAAAATTATAATGTCAATAATAAAAAAATTTATGGATTTAAATTTTATATTTAATAAAAAATAAATTAATTTAACTTTAAATAATAATTTTTATAGAAATGAATAAAAATATATATATATATAAAATAAATAAATTTAGCTTTAAAATAAAATTTTTGTAAACATGAATAAAATTATATATATATATAAAAAAAAAATAACTAGAATTTAATAAAATTATTTATAAAAAAATAATAATAATAATAATAAAAAAATATATTTAATATATATCTAAATATATATATATATATATATATTATTTTTCCTTAATAAATTTAATTTCATTAAGGATAATTTTTTTTTAATTAAGTTATTGTAAAATATGAATCTCTATTTTTTACAATTAAAATAGTTTAATTTTTTCGTTTACTTAATTTTATATTATTAGCTTCTAAATTTTATAGTTAATTGTATTTATTTATTACTTTTAAATAATTTCCATAAATGAAATAATTTTGAAAAGTTTTTAATTATTAAAAATCATATAAAAAAAAATTATTGTTATTATTATTTGATGAATTCTCATAACTTTTTGATAATTATCTTATTGTATTTTTAAATTTTTTTGCAAAGATTTTAGTTGCAAAATTATTTTTAGAATTAATATTTTTCTTATTTTATAAAAAATTATGTTTATCCTCTTTATTTAAATCATTATAATTGTTTTCATATAATTCTTATGAAAAGGATTATTTTATATGTTATTAATCATTAGATTAAATATTACCTTATTTATTATTATTACTTAATTGATCATCTTATATATAATCAATAGACTAATTCCCGAAATATAACTCTAAGCAATTTTAATATTCTGATTATTCATCATCTTAATTAATTTTCGATAAAGTAAATTTCACTTCAGGTGCTTTTTAATAGAATATTTTATCATTTAAAGATAATAAATTTTGGTTTTAAAATTCCGATGATTATTCCAATTCTTAATAAATT